TAATAATAATAATAATAATAATAATAATAATAATAATAATAATAATAATAATAATAATAATAATAATAATAATAACTTTAATTATCATTTTAATCATTCATCACAAAAATCTCATAATCCAGTTCCGTTAATTAGTTTAATACCTCCACCTGTTAGTACAGGTCATACTAATTATAATAATTATACTGTACAGAAAGGATAAAAGGAATAAATTATCAGTACAGTCCAGTAAAAAAAGTTATAGAATCTCACTTTATTATTATTATTATTATCATCATCATTATTATTAGTATTATAAAGAATGAGGACATATGACCTTTTTTTCATTTATTTTTTTAGAATTATATTTTTTCATATTATATGTAAAGAATTATTTTATTCTAATATATATATATATATTTATACTTTAATTTATACAATAGACAGATGGATGGATAGATAGATATATATATATACGTATACACATATATGCATGTAATAAATATTTTATCATTTTCAAAGATAATTTACTGGCTAATAATAATAATAATGATTTAATTCATTATTAATTTTTTTTTGTTTAAAAAATTGATTTGTTTGAAAATATCATTTGTTTAACTAATATATTTATTTACTTATTTAAAATTTAAAAATTTGATATTCTTTTATTTATTAAGACAAAAAAAAAAAAGTACATTCCTCTTTTGATTTATAAATAAAAAAGAGATATATAAATTATAAAACATGTGATTAACTCTAATATATACTTAATGTATTACATTTGCCATATATATATAAATATGTACCGTTGTGTAACGGTACGTAATGACTGTTATGTTAAAGAGGAATCAAAAAAAAAACCCCCTCCAATAAAAATAAAAGAATAAGAATAATTACGAGATCACTTTAATGCCACTATAAATATCTCTTAGTTACGACTCCACCTGGGTATGAGGTATAAACCTGTGTGGTAGGAACAGAATTGTATACGACAGTCGTTGGTGGAGGTGGTGTATATACTACAGTTTGAATTGGAGGTGGAGCAGGTTGTTGATAAATTACTGTTCGTTGAATCGGTTGTGGTTGTTGATAAACAACAGTAGTAACCGGGGGTGGTGGGGGATTTCGAACGACCACGACATTCGTTTGAGGTTGAGGCTGTTGATTCACGTAAACCACGTTTGAGTACTAAAAATTATTATTAATAATAATATGACACATTTGACAAGAATATTATTAATTTGTGAATTCGTTAGTAAAATTTCTTTTTGAAAATATAATTTATTTCGTTTTGATTTTTGACGAATAAAATGTGTCGTAAACAACATGTGCACAAAAAATTTTTTCCTGGTTCAATAGTAAAGATATTTCGAAAATTATTGCCAAATATCAAGTTGGTTGCGCAGTAATAAATTATAATATAATACATACCATTTTATTTGATAAAAATGATAATACGGGTAGAAGTAAAAAGTTTCTTGCACTTGTTAGATGTTACAATAGATCTTCCTTTATGAGACCAGACTACTTTATATTTCTTATTGTTATATTAGTTTATTGTATATTGAGTTTATTATTTTATATTGCTATGAACAAGTCGTTAGAACTTTAAAAGACTTCGAAAATATAAAAAATTTCTTTGAAATACTGCGGTAAAAAATATGAGGAAAAGATTTTTTTTATTCTGAAATGAAACGAAGGTTTCAAAAAAAAAAAGGATTTCATTTAATTTCTTTTGGTTGTAAGTGTTACCATCGAGTTGGATGTCTCTCTTTTTTCAGTTTTATGCATATGAAGTTATTTTTAGAAAAAATAAAGAAACAAATGGAAAATGTTTAGTACATTCCCTCTGGAATATTAAAATTCCCTTTAATAGTAAATTTGGTGGAACTCATTTGTAACAGTTTGACAGCTTGTAAGAAATGTACTAAAAATAAATATTTATTTCTACATACCTATTTTTTATTAATTGTAACAGAAATATATATACTGTATATGCTCGCATGATAATCTAAAAAGAGTCCTTGCGGATTTCATAAATCTACAATAACATAACATTTTAGATCAATTTAATCTTCTATATTTATTAATCGATTTCGATATTCAGATGAATCATTATTATTCTATTATTCTGGAATCTTTTCAATTTTCATTAGCTTTTTCATAATTCAATTGCTTTTAAAAAATAATTTGAATTAGAATTTTATAATGATAAAAGATAAAATGAGAATTTGATTTTTATTAAATGGAAGTCCAAATTTTTTTAAAAAAACAAGTTTCCATCTCATTATATGTGTATTGTTTCGGTAGATCACACAATTTAACAAATTTATGCTATATGTTGTAATAATTTTTAATACCTATTTTTTGAATTAATGAATTAATAATATTAATTTTTTAGAATTAGTCGAAACAATACTAAAAATAATTATTAAACTAAAAAACATGAGGGTAATAGAAATGAACATTTGTTATAAAATAAATAACATTTTTGGCTAGACCTTTCATCTTAGAGATGAAACACTTACTCTAATAATAATGCGACGGACAATAAATCAATGTTACCGAGATATTAATATTTTGTATTTAGAGAATAATTTTTAACAAAATTAATAAAGTTATTAAAATGATCGAGGGTTAATAAAAAATTCAAATGTTATTTTGAGCATCTGTTAATACATTGAATAAAATACAACAACTTACCTAGAATAGACAACAATAAAATTTAAATAACAAAGAATATATTTCATTAAGGTTTTTTTTATTTAGTTATCGTCATCTGTTATAATGAATTTTTAACAAAAAAGTCAGTCGAATTCAAAATTATTGTTTTTTTTTTACGCATTGTACCACCAAATCTGCATCCAACTCCAAACTTGCGGATTAAACAATTTCCATAAAAAGCAAAGTAAAGATGCAAAGATTCAAAAAGAAATGCAATTTAACTTTATAAATATAGTTCTACCCAATAAAACGATTAAATCAATTTGTTTCAAAATTCAAAAAAGAGTTTCAAGGAGAAACGAACTGCGCGAATTGACATTTAATTAAATGATGATAATAATAATATAATATAATTATTCTTATTATTATTTCATTTTTTATATCCAACAAATGATTTCTTTCTTGTTATGGGGTATTGTTCACATATATTCGTTGTTTTGGTAAATCATTATTTATGTCTTTTATGTCTTTTTATGTACTTTTATATGTATTTAGTTTTTATTATTTTTTTTATGTTTCCAGGAATTTTTAGCTACCAGATTAATGGGAAATCAATTCTTTAGTTCTATTATAGTACAAAACTTAATATTGTTCTTTGTATAAAGATCTCCCCTTGTTATATATCCGTTATATATATATATCCGCTTATGTACATTTGTGGTGTGTAAATATATTTATACAATAGAATTTAATGTAATCTATATATACAATACAATAATGCACTATTATCATAATTATTTGTTTTGTAATAGAAATATATAATAATCAAGAAAATCATGAATTTTTTTTATAAAAAGATCCAACAACGTTAATGCGTTGTGAATTTAGCCAGACTCTCCCTTTTTTTCTATATATATGAATAGGAAGTAGTAGAAAAAGTAGAAAGTAAAGAAAGCTGGTTTTTCTTTTATCCAAAACATTTAACACACTTTTAAGTAGTTTGATACTACTTATTATTATTATTATTATTATTCTTTTTATTATTATTATATTATTATTTATTATAATTACCAGTTAATATTATTTATTCTTATATTTATCTAAATACTTTCTTCTGTTATAAAAAAAATAAAATTAAACATAAACGCATGTATAATTCTTCCGCAAGAACTACTTCTTTTTCTTCTTCACCTAATACACCCGTTGCAACTCAAGAAAATCATCTTTCATATTACTTTAATAATAATAATAATAACGGCAGTAACAACAATATCAATAATAATAATATTACTTCACCAACATATAATCGACGCGTAGCAAATCGTCCATCTATAGCTTATTATCAACAACATCAACGAACTGAATCAACAGATTCAGCAACTGCTTTTTCATCAGTTATTAGTATTAATAATAGTAATATTAGTAATAGCGAAGAAGAAGAAGAAGATTATAACGATTACTCTGGAGAATACGATTACAACGATAACTATAATAACGATAACGAAGAAGCTAAATTTAAAAACGTTAAAACTTTAAGAACAAGTTATAATTCGAATAATAATCTTCGAATTAAAAGTAATATTGGTGAAGTAGGATTCGCTGACGATAACGGAATACCAGTTTATAGTCCAAGATATCCTTCAGATCCTTTAACAATTGAAGAACAATCAAATATTGTATTCGTTGACCCTAAAACCAGAAATAATAAGAATAAGAATTTTAAAGGCCAAAACGTAAAAAATTCAAAGAGCAACAACAATAGTTATAATAGCAGCAACAGTTATAATAGTAATAACAGTTATAACAGTAATAATAGCAATAACAGCAATAAGAGTGACAACAGCAATAAGAGCAAAAAGTTAAACATAAATAAAAATATAAGTAGTAATAGTAATAATAATAATAATAATAATAATAATAATAACAATAATAAACTAAAAATGATCCTGGGAAAAATTATAAAAGGATTTTTTTCTATCTTTCGAAAAGATAAAGGAATCCCCCATCACAATGGCAATCCTAACGTGACTTGTAATAATAAGAAAATAACTAATAATAATGGACGAGGAAGATGTTGTTTGATAATTCTATTAATCATATTGATCATAGTTTTACTTCTAAATTTGATAATATTGGATATTTTATTTTTTACTAGTGATAATAATAATGAAAATGACGAAATAATAACAAATAATAATAATAATGGTAATAATAATAGTAGTAATAATGGTTCGATACCTTTGACCCCACAAGACTATAAAATAAAATCCGTAGTATGTTTAACGTTATTATCTGCTGCAAATAATAATCCGAAAGAATTTTCCTGTGATACTTGTTTAGATGATCCAAATGTATTTTATAATGTTAGTTCATTTTGTGCATTAAAAAGCATCTGGCGAAATTCGGATAATCAAACGTATTTGGAAAAACAATTAAGATGGATGAGCGATATTGATTTTTGTTCTTGGTCTAATGTTAAATGTGAAGGTGGAAATATAATAGAATTGTATCCTTTTTTTTTTTATATAATTATTACGCGCTCGTTAAAATTATGTAAAGTTTATTATTATTACACCTTAATATTATTTTATAATTTATTTCTTTTTTTTTTTAATAGAAATTTAGAATTTCTTTCTCCTTTAATTTCTTTACCAAGTTTGGTGGGTAAACTTACCACTCTTCAAAGCTTGTAAGAAATTATATTTTAATTCAATTATTTTTATTTGATTTTATATTTATGTTTAATTTTATTCATATTTATTTAATTTCATATTTTATTTATATTTATAGAGTAATAATTGGAAACGGATCATATCCAACTGGAAAAATTCCCGATGAAATTTTCCAACTTCCAAATTTAGTTGAGCTTAAATTCATTTCAACCAATTTGTCTAGTTCTCTACCAGATACTTTTGACCAGATGAAATTATTAAAAACTTTGTAAGTTTTTTTTTATTTATTTATTTCATAATAATTTTTAATGATTCGAGTAACTTACAATGATGATTATTATTTATTTTTTTAGAACAATCGAGTCAAGTCCAAATATAGTAAATTTCCCTCAATCTTTGAGTAACCTTTTGTTAACTAGTTTGTACGTATAATTAATTAATAAATTTATTTATTATTATATATGTGATTAATTTATTTATTTATTTTATTTTATTTTTTTTTTTCATTAAAGAACATATTCGGGACAAAAAATTTCAAGTATTCCAGATCTTCTCCTCAATAGTGATGCATTTAAAGAAAATCTTCAAGAATTGTAAGTTATCTTTTTTTATTTCTTTATTATTATTAATTAATCTATATTGATTATTATCGATTATTATTTTTTTCAGAGATCTCAGTATGAATTCATTGACAGGATCCATTCCAGATTCATTAATGAAATTTAAATCATTACAAAAATTGTAAGTTGATATTATTTTATTTTTCAACACTCAATTATTTATACTCAATTATTTATACTCAATTATTTATTTATTTATTTATTTATTTAGAGTATTATCTTGGAACAAATTCCAAGATTCACTTCCTTCATCATCGTTAAATAATTCCAATTTTCAAAAATCTTTAGAAACATTTGATTTACGTAATAATAACTTTACTGGTGATTTACCGGAAAGCATTTTTCAATTTAGTTCTATAAAATTTATTTATTTTTCCAATAATAAATTTACTGGAAATATTCCTAATACTTTTTCGAAGTCAAGTAAATTGAAAGAATTATTTTTGGATAATAATAATTTGAGTGGAGAAATTCCTGCAAATCTTGGATTATTGGAATTGGAAAGACTGTAAGTATATTATTTTATTATTATTTTTCAAGATTAATTTATATATATATTAATATTAATATTAATATTCAATTTTACTCTTATTTTTTTTTTTTAAAAAAATAAAAAAATATAAATAGTGAACTTTCAGGGAATAAACTCGAAGGCACAGTTCCTGATAACATATGCGAAAGAACTTATGTCGATTGCGAATTAGGTTCAAATAATAATTTAACTTCTTCTTCCAAATGTAAAAGTTGTAATCTTTAATTATAAAATTATAAATCAAAAAAAAAAATAATAATAATTATAATAATATGTATTAATATCATATGTAATATATAATAGTATTCACAAAATAAAATAATTTTTATTATGCCAGATTACGTTATCATGATTAATGTACGACATTCGACATTCTTATATAATAATTTTTTATTCTTGTTGAAAAAAATCCAAAAAATAAAATAAAAAAAATAATAAAAAATGAAGGAAAAAGCTTGTCTTATCTGCTTGGATGGTTGGGGAATTTCAAAGAATGAAAATCCCCAAGTTGACGCGATTCGTCATGCAAAAACACCAGTAATGAGTAACTTCGAAGAGGAATTCCCTTATGCTGTTTTAAAAGCACATGGTCTCGCTGTTGGTTTACCCAAGGGACTTATGGGTAATTCTGAAGTTGGTCACTTGAATATTGGGGCTGGGCGAATTGTATATCAAGTAATAATTTTATTTAAATAAAAGTTATCATAATTTTATTATTGTATCTTAATATATAGATATAATAATTATTGATATTTTGGATACATTTATATAGGATATTGTAAGAATAAATTTGGCAGTTGAAAAAAAAGAATTTGGTAAATTTGAAAACATTGCAAAATGTTTTAAGCACGCTAAAGAAACTAACGGAAGGATTCATTTTCTCGGGCTGGTAATAATCTAATAATAATTTTAATTATAATTTAGAAATGTAATTTAGAATTGCAATTATAATTATATATTATAATTAATAGGTTTCGGATGGTGGTGTTCATAGTCACATCAATCACTTAATTCATTTACTCGAAACTGCCAAGGATTTTGAAATTCCAAAGGCTTTTGTTCATTTTTTTGCGGATGGTCGTGATACCAATCCTCGTTCTTCCAATAAATATCTTGAACAATTACAAAAAGCTATTGCCGATTTAAATTATGGTCAAATTTCTACCATCATGGGTAGATATTACGCAATGGATCGAGATAAAAGGTGGGAAAGAATAAAAATTGCTGTGGATGCTTTGACACTTGGTATAGGAGAGAAATCTCAAGATCCATTAAATGTAAGAATATGATTCTTAATTTTTTTTTTTTTTTTTTTATTTTTTTATTTTATTTTATTTTATTTTTTATTTATTTTTAAATATATTTTAATCGAATACTGTATATATATATATATATTAGACAATTCATGAACGTTTTTCTAATGATGAAACCGACGAATTTTTAAAACCAATTATAGTTTCAGAAGAAGGTCTAATCAAAGGTGAATGAATAAAAAAATTTTCTTACATAATTTCAATAAATATAAATGTTAGTTATTATATATATTTTACATTTCTTTATTTATTTATAGAGGGTGATACTTTATTCTTTTTCAATTACCGATCTGATCGTATGCGCGAAATTGTTCAAACTTTTGGTATTTCTCCTCCTCCTTTTGATATTGAAATTTCAAAAAATATTGTACGTAAATAATTTATAATTTAATTTTATCAATTGAAATTGATTTAAAATTGATTAGAATTGATTAAAATTGATGCAAGATATTATTTGATCAATTACTATTATTATTATTATTATTATTATTATTATTATTAGAGTATAACAACGATGACTAGATACAAAACCGAGTTCACATTTCCGGTTGCGTTCCCTCCTCAAGCCATGGACAATGTCTTAGCAGAATGGCTCGCGAAAAATAAGATACCACAATGTCACGTTGCGGGTATACTCTTATTTTCACATACTTACTTTTACAACATTCACATTCAAATACTCACACTCTCACATATATTATATTTTTAGAAACCGAGAAATACGCCCACGTAACTTTCTTCTTTAATGGTGGTGTAGAGGTACAATTCGATCAAGAACATCGAGATTTAATTCCATCACCCAAAGTTGCCACATATGATCTTAAACCTGAAATGTCAGCAATAGAAGTAGCAGAAAAAGTTGCTGAAGAAATAAGTAGTGGAAAATTTCCTTTTGTCATGTGTAATTTTGCTAATCCTGATATGGTAGGACATACTGGAATATTTGATGCAGCGGTGAAAGCCATCGAAACAACCGACAAAGCGATTGGAATTGTTTATAATGCATGTAAAGAGAATGGATATATTCTTTTTGTTACTTCGGATCATGGAAATGCCGAACAAATGAAAGATGAAGAAGGAAATCCTCATACAGCTCATACTTGTAATCCTGGTAATTAAATTAATTAATTGTCCTTTTAATTATTGTTTTAATTATTGTCAATAATTATTATTTATATCCTTATTTCTTAATATGTATTTATTAATGATGATTACTTAATATATTGATAGTACCTTTTGTAATGACCTCAGATAAATATTCATTCAAAGATTTGGATGGAGCAGGAGCACTTTGTGATGTAGCACCTACAATTTTAGATGTTATGGGACTTGAAATTCCCAAGGATATGAATGGAACATCTTTATTGAAGAAATGAAATTCAATAATTCCTTTATTTTTATTATTATTATTATTATGTAGATGTAAAATAGTAAATGTAATAGTAAATGTAATATTAAATGTAATATTAAATGTAACAGTAAAAGTAATAGTAGTAAATGTAATAGTAGTAAAGGAGAGAGAATCATTAATCATTTACAAATGTACTTACTACATAAAACAAAAAAATTATTTATTTGTTTATTTTTATTTGTTTATTTTATTCAGTAATTTCACAAAACAAAATAAAAATAAAAATAAATAAATAATTCAAATAAATTTTATTATAATTATACATATATAATATGATGATGTAATTTTATTATTTAGCCAATAAATAGCAAATGAATAAACTTTGTGTGAAGAATGAATGCAAAATTTAATGTTATACAAAGATTATAATAACAAATATAAAATAATAATAATAATAATAATAATTAAAACCAAAAAACTATTCTAATAAATATCTCCCAGGAATAAAAACATGAAATAAAAAAAAATAGATAATTTTCGCCAAAATCCAAAAGAAAAAAATTATTTATGTATTCTACAAGGAATGAAGTAATAATAATATAATAATAATAATAATGATGATGATAATATTTAAAAAATAAAAATAATAATAATTCATAGTCAATTTATAGCTAAATAAAAATTTTTAACGAAATTTTATATTATCTCATCAATTAAAGTTAAAACTCAGATATACAACTTTCGTCAATAATAAGTATCACTGGACTGGAACGGATTTAGTTATAAATTTCATCATCAGCTTCGACAAATTTATCATTATCATCATCATCGGAACTTTCTATATTATAATACTCTTCAGATTCTTGAACTAAAATCCGAATCTCTTTGAATGTAAGTTTGGTTCCTAATAACCATTCGGCTACAAATGATTCCTCTCTTTCTTCCATTTCATTCACTTCTTCCACTTCTTTCATTTCTTTCATTCCTTCAACTTCTTTCACTTCTTTCACTTCTTCAACTTCTTTCATTTCTTTCACTTCGTCCACTTCTTTCATTTTTTCCTTCTTTTCTTCCTTCTCTTTACATTCATCAATAGTAATTTGTTGTGTATTAACTTCATATTCTTTTTCAACAAGTTTCAATTCAGCGATGATCATATCTTCCATAAAATGATCAATCTTAACCGTTTTTTCAATATTTTCAATTTCTTCATCTTCAATAATTTCAATAATTTCTTCACTTTCGATAATTTCTTCATTTTCTTCATTTTCAATAATTTCCTTATTTTCTTTAATTTCTTTATTTTCAATAATTTCCTTATTTTTTTGATTATTTTGTGTAGATGCTAAATTCGCTGAATCTGATGAATTCGCAAAATCCTTTAAATTCGTTAAATTTGCCGAATTGTTCTTTTTTAAATTTACCGAATACTTTAAATTTATTGAATTTGTTGAATGCTTTAAATGTGTTGAATTCTTTAAATTTACTTTTAAATTTGTTGAATTCGTTGAATTCTTTAAATTTGCTTTTAAATTTGCCGAACTCTTTAAATTTGCTGAATTTGCTGAATTCTTTAAAATTGGTAAATTTGCTGAACTCTTAAAATTCTTTAAATTTGTTGAATTTGCTGAACTTTTTAAATTCGTATAATTTGCTGAATTCTTCAAATTCGCCGAATTTGCTGAATTTGTTGAATTTATAGAATTCTTTAAATTTGTTAAATTTGCTGAACTCTTTAAATTTGTTGAATTTGTTGAACTCTTTAAATTTGTTGAATTTGCTGAACTCTTTAAATTCGTTAAATTTGCTGAATTTTTCAAATTCGCCGAATTTGCTGAACTCTTTAAATTTGTTGAATTTGTTGAACTCTTTAAATTCGTTAAATTTGTTGAATTCTTCAAATTTTCCGAATTTAACGAATTCTTTAAATGAGTTGAATTTGTTGAATTTACTGAATTTGTTAAATTTGTGGATTGTGCCGAATTCGTTAAATTTGCTGAGCTCTTTAAATTTGATGAATTTGTTGAATTCTTTAAAATTTCCGAATTTGCTGGATTCGTTAAATTTGTTGAATTTGTAGATTGTGATGAACTCCTTAAATTTGCTGAAATCGGTAAATTTGTTGAATTTGTTGTTGAATTTGCTGTTGAATTTGCTGTTGAATTCGGTAAATTTGTTAAATTTGTAGGTGCCGGTGATGGATGTACTGAGGATTCTTTATGATCAAGTTTTGATTCGTCTTTTTTATTTAATGATATTGATTGTTGTTGGGTTAATTCTTCCCTTTGTCTATTTTTCTGTTCAAACAATATACTGGTGGGGACTGGGTCACTACGATTTTTATCAGAAACGCTAGAGACATCTTCTTTTAAAGGAGGTAATTGTGAATTTTCTTGTATTCCACTGATAATATTATTATTATAATTATTATTATTATTATTATTATTATTATTATTATTATTATTATTATTATTATTAAAATTATTATTATTAATATTATCATTAATAATATTATTATTATTATCGTTGCTGTTGTTGTTGTTGTTATTGCTATTGTTAACCGCAAAAGTTGCTCGGCTTGGTGTTTGTGCTGAAGTACGGGTGGAACTTGATAAACTCGTTCTAGATATATGACGAGCATGTCTTGATTGTTCAACTTGATCAAATATAATTTGTTCTTGATTTCCTTCCTCTTTAGATAAAATTCGAGGAATTTCTATCTTAACATAACGAGCTGGTTTATTTGATCCTTGTAAATTTGTGGATATATAATTATTCTTGAATGAAACATTATTATTATGTCGTTGTTGATTCATAGTATCTTCATTTAATGATTTCCTTGATCTGAAAAATAATTTTTTAAATTTCTTTTCTTTTTTCTTTACAATTTCAGGTGAAAAATTATCTTTTTTAACAGATTGAGGAAATTCTGTTTGTTCAGATGGTGGTGTGGTACTTAAAAAATCTATTAAATCTTGTTCCGCATGTCGTCGTTTATTTCGTTTTTGTCCTTCGGGATATAATAAATCGTCATCATCATCATCATCTAAATCTAATGGTTGAGGTTTTAATTTATTTTTTGTGGGAGGGTTAAGAAGATGACCGGTACTTCTACTACCTTTTGATTGATTATAATATGTAGATTGTGCTTGATCCATAGATTTACTATGATGTAATGAACCTGGTGCAGTTTTGGGTGTTTGTAAAGGAGAAGTATTATATCTAGATTGATCTTCGTATGATTTTGCAGATAAAGCTTGAGAGATTGAAGCGCTATTATAAAATGCATAAGGTGATGAAGATGGAATAAGAGGTTTATAACGTGGTGTATTTCCTGGAGAAGAAGGAGATGACGTGGCACTCGTGGTAGCGGAATGTTCTGAAACTTTATCTAATTTATCAATTGCCTTTCCACGTCTTTGAAATAGGTCAACTTTTGAATCTTTTTTCTTAATCCTTCCATCACTTAGCACATCATCTGGACTAGTATTTTTAAGGAATTCATATAAATTTTCTTCTTTCCTTTTAGGTCTACGCCTCGCAAATAAATCGTCATCTTCATCTTCTTCTTCAACTTGATTAGATGCCTTAGGTGTAACAATTCGTTCACGAGCCACAGGTTCACGAGGAGCAAGTTTTGGAGGTCTTTTATGTGTCTAAATAAATTAATAAAAAATATAATAAAATGTAATGAATATAATAAATATAATAAATATAATAAATAAAATATAAATAAAAATATAAATATATTAATTATTACCTCAATTGTAATTAATCGATTCGGAGTTAAAGAAACTTTCATTGTTTGATTACTTGAAATCAAAGTTTCAAAGCTTCTCATTTTTTCAAGATTATCTTCCTAATAATATAAATAATATAATTATTAACATAATTAATATGAATAAGCAATTCACAAATATGAATGAATAAAATAAATAATATTATTTGACGTATTAGTGACCTACCATACTAGATATACTTTTCATATCTGTTTCTCCGTCTCCCTGACTTTGTAAACTTTGCGTACTTTTCGTTGAACGCATTTTATATTCCGAACTATTTCCACTACTTCTACTATTTCTATCAATGGATGATTTAATCGGAGAAGTAGGTGTAGCAGAAGAATTCTTAAATCCTCCATTCACATTCCCATTTCCAATTGGCGAAATAGGAGATCGTAATCGAGGAGATTTTGAAGAATCAGAATTGGTATGTGTAGTTGAAATTGGTGATGACATTGGTGAAGAAAAAGTTTTAGATATTGGAGACTTAAGACTTTCTCCCGTATGTATCTTTTGAGGAATATAATCAGTAATTTGTGTCTTTGTTATTAAATTTTTTAAAAAAAAAAAAAAAAGGAAAAAGGAATTGAAAAGTATTAAAAATAAGATTTAAATAATTTAATGCAAAAAAAAAAAATAAAATAAAATAAAATAAATAAATAAAGAATTTGTAAATTTACATAAAGATTATTTATTTATTTTAATTTATTATTACCTCTAATTTTAATTTTAGATTTGTTCTACGGAATAATGGATATATTTGTGCATCTTCGATCAATGCGATATATACTTCTCTATCTTTTGCTACTTCTGAACCTTGCCTTTCCGAAATTTTAGCAACCAATATAAGTGTATACTCTCCTACATACTCTAATACTGCTGTTAAATATATTGCCAAACTTGGAGCAATATGAATACCCTCCGCACCATATAAATCAGGTACCAAATTACGTCCTCGATCATCGGAAGCGCGTTCACCTAAGGTACTAAAATATTGACATTTTATACGAAATTGTTCAAAAACTTTTTGTAAAGGGAAAGGATTTATTTCTATAGTCCTTTCTTGAGTATGGTCCGAGTTACCACTTTCCCAATAAGTTTTTAGTTCTAGTTCAGCTTCCTGAACAGCATTTTTACCTAAGCTAGTAGGTAAAACTTGACCAATGGCTAATTTTATTCGTACCAAGTCAAGAGACCTAGCAGAATCTATTAAGCAATATAAGAATTCATCAAGGAAAGTATTTATGGCAAATAAAGCTTCAGATGAGATGCGGTAAGGAGCAACGTCCGCTATAATGGCATTAGCTGCCCGTTGGGAAATATAAAGATTGTCTAGCATAAAAGAATAAGGAAAGAATAAAAAAAGGTGAAGTTGGTGGTGGTGGTGATGGTAATGGTGATATGAAAAGGGAATGAAAGGTAAATTGAAAAAGTTAAGATGTTTTTTTATTTAAATCACCATAAAAAATTTTTTAGATCGTTAAAAAAAAAAAAAAAAACAAAAAAAAAATTTAGTTTTGTCGAAGTAATATAAAAATTGTAATTGTTATTTGAATACCATGCATGTCGGACTAAAAAGTTAAAAATCGTATTACAATTATTACAATTAAACTTGCATTTAAAGAATGCATTAACTGTTATTGAAACTAGATTAACTATAATTAACTAATAATTATTATTATTTGATTTTCTGGATTTTCTTAATATGATGTGTAACAATCTGAATAACCTTAATAAAAACTTTAATCATTATTTTTAGTCATTTAGTCATTCAAATCAATCAATCAATCAATTCATTTATTTAGAAAAATTTTCATTATGTCGAATTCTCGAAAACGTTCTAATAGTATTATTGGTGATGAAAGAAATGTTAAAAAGCATAAGGGTTAACCTGTTTTTTTTTTAATTTAACTTGAGATTTTTAACTTGATATTATTTTATATTATTTTTTTGAATTTAATTTAATTTTTTTTTTTTTATTATTTTTAGATAAACAATATTATAAGAAAGTAAGCACACTCGATTCAAATATTTCAGGAGTTTTTGTTAGTTGTGCGAAATCTAAAGAAGCATTTTGTGTAAGAGAATGTTATGATCTTTTTAATGCGGTAACTAAACATATTATAAATATAATCAAATATATATACTTTTTATCATAATTTTCAATAATAATAATAAGAATAATAATAATTCTGGTAATTTGATAATAGTATAGTGAAGAGATTTATAAATCAGAAGATTCAACAGATGTTGTTAATAATGAAGAAGAAGAAGAAGAAGAAGAAAGATCAGATAATAAGAATGAAGATGTTGAAACTTCTATTGAAAAAGAATTAGCACAAATGAGAAAATCTCATACTTCACATCGATTTGCTTCAATTCAGACTGGAACACATTGTGGTATTTATATTAATATTAAATATTTTATTTTATTTTTATTTATTATTTTTATTTTTATTTTACCTTTTTAAATTATAAAATTTTTATAATTTTTTATCATTTTTATCAAGTTGTGTTTATTAAGACAAGTTCACCTGTTGATCCGGTTAATTTAATTCATCATATTTTAAATGATTTAAGCATTTCGAAAAAGAAAAAGACAAGGTAAATTAATATATACATTATTATTATAATTACTTTCTTTTGTTAATTATTACAATAAAATTAACGAATTAATTAATTTATAATATAATTTACAATAAAATTAACAAATTAATTAATTTATAATATAATTTACAAATTAATTAATTTATAATATAATTTACAAATTAATTAATTTATAATATAATTTACAAATTAATTAATTTACACACACATATATATCAAATATATAATTAACAAAAATTAATTCTATATAAAGATTTTGTAAGCGACTTGTTCCAATTACAAAAACCTGTTATGCAAATATGAATGATATCAATAAATTAGCCGAAGAGATTTTAAAACCCCATTTTCATGCACCACCAGATCAACAAAAAAAAATCAAGGTCTTTAAATTTATCTTATCGTCATTCGTTTATTATTATTTTTTTTATTATCATTTATTATACATATATATCTCTCTATTTATTATATCTCTATTTATTATATCTCTATTTACTATATCTCTATTTACTATATCTCTATTTACTATATCTCTATTTACTATATCTCTATTTTATTATGTCTCTATTTATCATATCTCTATTTACTTTGAAATGATTTATCCCAATTCATCATCATCCTTTAAAAAATATTTTAAATATTAATAAGTATGCTGTTATTCCGAATATTCGAAATAATAAAAATATTGAAAGAATGAAATTAATCACTACGATAGCTCGATTAGTTGGTGATGATCATATTGTTAACCTTGATGATCCGGACTTGGTAATTATTGTTGAAATATTTAAGGTAAATTTTATTTATTTATTTATTTATTTATTCATTTATTATTTGTTATTTGTTTTTAATTATTAAATTATTAAAATTATTAAAAATTTATTCACATTAAATGTAATAGAATATATGTGGTATGAGCGTTTTATCGGATTATAAAAGATTAAAAAAATATAATATCGAAAGTATTTTTGAGGATAAAGAGCAGAATGAAGAACCGGAAGAACAAAATGAGCAGAATGAACAGGGAGAACAAAATGAGCAGAGTGAACAGAGTGAACAGAATGAAAAGAATGAGAATAAAAATGAATAAATAAAGAATAAAAAATAAAAATAGGTAACCTGTTTCTTTATAATTGCATTTTCTCATTTAACATTATATTCATAACAGAGCATTTAGATCTCATTTTTTGATGTCACGTTTTTGATATGATTTTGTTTTGTATAAAAAGAAAAAAATAATAATGAATATAATAAAAATTAAAATATAAAATATAACAATAATAATAATAACTATAATAATAATAATAATATTGGTTGTGCAAAGCCTCAATCAGTCAAACATTTCTTCCAAAACCACTAATAAATTATCCTAAGCCTCACAGGCTTCGATGGAATCCGTAGTGGCTTGGTTAAAAAGATTCTGTCGTTAGTTGAGAGGCTCACATTTAGTCATGAAAATAAAACATTTACTTAATTAGTATTAGTTTTATTGTGGGAAAATTAACTGCATACACACTTGATGCACTAATACTATTTATGTTTCATGTACATTTTATAACTTTCATGCAGTTTAATTTAATTTTTCAATCATTCACCTTAATAATAAATAATCTTAATAATAAATAATCTTAATTAATATAATAATAATAAAATTAAAAAAAATTTTTTTTTTATATTTCAAAATTTCATCCAATGATATTATCATTATCAATTCTTTCTTCTTTACTGGTAAACGATAAAAAATATAATAAAAAAGGATAATAAAAGATAAAGAAGGCGACGATAAAAAAAAAAAAAGATAAAGAAAAAGGATAATAAAAAAGGATAAAGAAAAAGAATATTCAAAAAAGATAAAAGACGACAAAGAAGATAAAAGAAGAAATAAAATAAAGGATGAAGTTTATTTTAAATCACATAGTTTTATCATTAGGACTTATTATTACAACTATTACTAAAATAATATACGCGAGTAGTGGTTAGTGTCTTTGGCATGTATATCAAAATGTGAAAAAAAAATATATATATTATTGTTATTTTAAATCGTGAACTTTAACTAACTTCTTTTATCTATCAAAATTCAACCTTTTTTTTTTTTGTTCATAAATCATTTTTATAGCTGCCGATTATTTTATAGAAAATTTACCTGGACTTGCTAAAGATGCAAATGTTAAAGCTCACTCTGGGTTAGTTTTTGTTTAGAAATGATTTTAAATTATTATTTGATTCAATAATCATTAATTTATTTATTTATTATTATTATTATTATTATTTTATTATTTTATAATTATTATTATTTTAAAATAACCTAATTTTCTTGGGGGATATATTTTTTTTTTAATTAGTCATATTACAATTAACGAAACTGCAAATGCCAATATATTCTTTTGGTTAATACATAATCGTCACATTGCTGATAAATCTAAATTTGTAAGTTTATATTAAAATATTATTAATTAAAAAATATTAAAAATATTTATTTGATTAAATTATTAATATTAAAAATTATATGGATATTTAATTAAAGATTATATGGCTAAATGGTGGTATGTTAAATTTTCAATAATAAATATTTAAATAATGTATTTAATTATAATAAAATAATAAATATCTAAAAAATTTTCTTTTTATTAATAAAAGGTCCTGGATGGTAAGTCAATATTACTCGATTTAAATAAAAAATGTGATTTATATATATATATGTATGTATTTTTTAATATATTTGTGATCAATCAATTCGATCAATCAATCAATCAATCAATCAATTTTAGTTCGAGGTAAGTTAATCAAATTCGATAATCAATTCGTTGTTTCTTCATAAGATGATAATAAAAATAATAAATTTTAAATAATAAATAAACTAGTATGGATGGATTATTTCTTGAAACAGGACCTTGGAGAATAAACACAGATAATGAAACATTAAGATTAATTGATGGATCCTGGAATGAGTATGCTAATGTATTATATGGTAACAACCTGAATTTACATTGTTGACTTTGTTCAATTCAATATATTTTGATTATTTATTGATTTATTGATTTATTTTATTTTATTTTATTTTTATTTTGTTTTTGTTTTTATTTTTGTTTACTTTTTTTTTGTTTAATAGTGGATCAACCTATTGGCACTGGTTTTAGTTATGCAAATAGTAATAGTTATTTAACAAATGTTACACAGGTATATTATATTTATTATTTATTTTTATTCTCATTATTCTCATTATTCTCATAATTATTGGTATTATTTTTATAATAATTAAAAATTTTTTATAGGTTCCCGTACAATTTTTACTTTTCCTTGATGAATTTTTCAAAATCTTTCCCGAATTTTCCAAAGATGATGTAAGTTATTAACCAAATTTTAATTGATTTAATTAATTTAATTTTTAATCTATTAATTCAATTTAATTAATTTAATTGAGTTTATCGTATCGGATAATTAATATTTTTTTTAGATATATATTGCTGGTGAAAGTTATGCGGGAACTTATATTCCTTATATAGCTAAAGCCATTCTAGATCGTAATAATAATACCACTGATAATAAATTAAAGGTATACTAAAAAAATAAGTGAATAAATTGAATAAAGTGAATTAATAAAAATATTTATTTGACATTTGAATACTAATTTCATTGAATAGTATAATCTTCGAGGTGTTGCTATTGGTAATGGATGGATAGATCCCATTGCGCAGGTGAGAAGATATCTTTCATTTTTATTTTTATTTTTATTTTTATTTTTATTTTTTTTTTATTCTTAAACTTAATTCAACTTAATTCAGTAACTTAATCCAGTGTTGCTTATATTCACATATATATAATTTTTTAGTATAATGCTTATTACACATTTTCAGTTAAACATAATTTATTAACCGGCAATTCCAAGGTATTTATCTTTTTTTTTTATTATTTATTTTACATTTTAATATTTAGATATTTAGTTATATTTATATTTATGTTTATTTATTATTTATAATTAATTTAATTATTTAAATTATTTATTTATAATTATTTTGTAGGAACTTGCTAAGCAACAACTGGATACATGTATGGATGCTTTGAAAGAAAAACTTACTATTCATCAAGATTTATGTGAATTAATCTTGGAAACAGTTTTAGAAAACTCACGCCAAACGTATTTGCATTATTTATTTATATTATTTATTTATATTATTTATTTATTTATTTATTTATTTATATTATTTATTTATTATTTTATATCATAAGTAATGGATCAACTACAACATGTATAAATCAATATGACATTCGAGATCATTCTGATTCTTATCCTTCTTGTGGAATAGCATGGCCTTATGAACTTACTTCTATTGCTAAATATTTACGAGTAAAAATATTTTTATTTTATTTATTTTATTTTATTTTATTTTATTTTATAATGAATATTAAATAATTTTATGTTATCATGAATGAATTCTTTAGAGAACGGATGTAGTTTCAGCGATTCATGCAAATTCCCAACAAATTGGATGGGTTGAATGTAGTTCTGGTGTTGGTCGAGGATTTACTGGTGATACTAGTCCTCCAGCTGTTAATGTAAGAAAAATTTTTGTTTTTTTTTTTATTATTTCTCCTTTTGAATTTTTTAATTATTTAATGTTAAATTTTCATTTTTATATATATATATATTTATTTATTTATTTATTTATTTATATTTACAGTTACTCCCTGGCATATTAGAACAAATTGAAGTCTTGTTATACAGGTAAATTAATTTAATTATATTCAATATATTCATTAATGTTTTATTATAATTTAATTATTATATTTATGAGATATTTTTATTGAATTTCTAGTGGTGATCAAGATTTAATTTGTAATCATATGGGAACTGAAGATATGATTTCAAATTTGACATGGGGTGGAATCAAGGGATTTAAGGTTATCTTTCTTTCTTTCTTTTTTTTTCTTATTTCAATTAATATTATATTATAAATTTTTTGATTTCATTAATTTTATTAATTTTATTTATATTTTATGTCATCTCCCTCACACACACGCATTATATATTTACAGAATCTTACATCGACACCTTGGTTTGTCAATTATACTCAAGCAGGTCATATTATATCAGAACGAAATTTGAGTTATGTGTTAATATATAATTCTAGTCATATGGTTCCATATGATGTACCAGTAGTTAGTGCAGATATGATGTATCGATTTATTGGACTTGCTAATCAAAATATTTCTAAATTCCCGTCAAGCGTTGGATATCAGGTAATTAATCTTTTATTCTTTTTTCTTATATTATTACATTTATTTATTTATTTATTTATTTATTTTGTATTTATTTATTTCTTACGTTTCTTATATTTATATTTATTTTGTTTTTTAATATAAATTTTATATAAATTATATATAAATTATATATAAAGAATGATACCACCGATAAAAATCATTCATCTACATCTGATGACGAAATTTGGGATAAATATTATAATGCGTAAGAAATAACGTTTATTATTAATTTTTTTATTTTTTACACAATATTTATTTATTTGTTTATTAATTTATTTATATTTTGTTTTATTATGTTTTATTTACAGAGGTACTGCTACTCTTATAATCGTTATATTTGGTGTTATTGGATTGGGAGCATTTGTTTTCCGTGGAAGATTTATAAAACGTAGAAAACATCATCATGAACAATTGAAAGATTTGGGAAGCAATGAAATGTAAGATTTGATAATTTATTATTTAATTTATTATTTAAATTATTATTTAATTTATTATTTAAATTATTATTTAATTTAATTATTTTAATATATTTTAATTTATTTTTTAATATATTTATAGGGATGAAATCGTAATAGAAACTCCTTATCGTTCAGATGATATTGATCATTTTGGTGACAGTGAGGATGAAGATGATGTTCGTCCTCGAAAAACTCAAGGGAAATATACTGACGACGAAGAAAGAACAATTCTAACAAGTGAAGAACGTTAAAACAACAAAAAACAATAATAAATATTTAATTTGATAAATTTTTATAATATATTTATTTTATTTTATTTTTTAATAATTGGGTAATTAGAAGAAATTAGAGAAATATTTTTTTTTGCATCAATAGATTTGAAAGATTAAATTATTTAAATAATTTCAATTAAAAAAAAAAAAAGAAAATTTAATAATGTTATATATAATTATTTTTTATGTAAACGAAGAACAATAAAAGAATTAAAAAATAATATAATATAATGTATAATAATAAATCAATAGAACAAAAAATTTAAAAATAAAATAAAATTTTGAAACAAATTTATAAAATTTTTTTTTCATCCATCACCCCCCTTCCCTCTAAAATATTTTTTTTTTTTGAACTGTCAGACTGTGCATCCTTTCTCACTAACCCCTCGGAATAAGGGATTAGCAAGATCATCAACTGGGATTTAGTTAAAAGTACAAAACCACCCGACCGAAGCCGAATAATCTTTTACCCCTAACTAAACGTCCACACTTCCCTTTACGAAAGGTGCACTACAAATCATCATCCAGTGGAAATTGTGTGTCTAGGTTGGAAAACGAAGACGGGTGACTGACTATATACAGATCCTGTAAAGTACAGTCGATGAGGAATCGATAATTCAAATCGGTGATTCTTATATAGTTATTTTAAAAAATGTGGGATATATCTTTGTGTCATTTCCATCACGTGTAGATTTGATCTTTCTACATATCGGATAATGAATAGGTTTAAATAGATATTCGAAAGGTGATAAATACCCTGACCCTTGACTAACCCTAAATATTTATGTTGACACCCGTGAAATTTTGTTCTTTTTTGGCCCTTTATTATTTATTTATTTTTTTTTTATGAACAAATTTGGCAAATTTGGCTTAGCATTATTACAATAAAAATACGTAATCCATAACTGAGTATTACGTACGAACAGAAAAATAATACGAAAGTAAAACATGAAAACGAATATTTTACTTTTAAATAAATTATAATTATTATTATTATTATTATTATTTTAGGAAGACAAGTTAATTAAAACCAAAAAGGAACTCATAAAAATTATCATAAACGTAAATAAATAAAATGAGTAGTTGAATGATGATATTGCTCTACTCTTACTATTCGAACCAGTGCTGGAAGGAGTACTCGTAGTAGTTTGTTTATCTACAATATATGTAAAAGGAAAAGGATTTAAAAAGGTGTAGAGAGAGAAAATTAATTCAAAATTTATTGTTTTATGATAATAAAAAAAAAAAAAATTTCATTGAAAAAAAAAATTTTTTACCGATAAATGTATCGTCACATTTACTAGTCAAAGTCTTGTTTAATTCTTGTGGATCCCATGCTGTTAAATTTGCATCAATTTCTGGATTTTCATTTAGATATTTTATGAAAGCATTAGTTATCTTTCTATTACAATCTGTACATAAACTGTCTTTAGGTAAGGAAGTCATTGGAGTAATTCCATCTTGAGGATTAAATCCTGGTGAACTTCTTGTTGTATTATATTTAATTTCACTATACCAAAGTTCTAAAAGACAATAACCATTTGTGGAATTCTTGAAACAAGAGGAATCATATGATGGTGAATAAAGAAGTAATAAATTTTCTATACTAATAATGTTTGATTTTTTTTTTTGTATATCTTCTTGACAAGCTGATTGAAATGTTTTTCTTCTTTCAGTAATTACTTTTTCTGTACATTTGGTATATTTACAAAGGTTATCTAAAGTAGGTCTATAAAATTCTGGGTCGGTATTATTTGATTGAAGAGCTTCACTAACATTAAGAATAGGGAAACAATTATTCAATTCGAAATCGGCATAATAAAGTTTATAAAGCGCTTCGGAACATGACGCAGAATAATCGGGTTGAGTATTATCAGGGTCGGCAGAAATGGCTAATAAAATAAATGTTTGAGTAGTAGTAATAGACAAGGTAAGAGCAACAAATAAATTTATCTGATTATATTTCATTTTCATATTTTTTTTTTAAAAAAAAGAATAAATTCAAAAAATTTAAAATTTTTAGATGATTTTATAGGAAATTTCTATAAAAGCTAAATATAGTACATAATAATATAATTGTCTGACTAATTCGTTTTTAGAAATAATGAATATAAACAGGTTTTGGATGTATAACAAACGTAATTTCACAGTAATAAATGAAACCTCATAATTTCGAATAAACATTATTCTAAAACAAAAAAAAAATAATCAGCTCAAGAATCAAACTTTTCTTTCGTACTTATTTCTTTTTGCATCCCGTTTATCAAGATGATCACGCCATGCAATTATTCTTCCCGTCTTGAAATTTTAAAAAATAAATTATTAAATATAATATCGTTAAATAAAAGTTTTCACCAAGATTATTGGATATTTTATATTCCGCCATTCTCAAATAAGAGAAAATATGAATGACTGATTTTCAAGTTTTAAAAACTGATGGTTAATAATATATATGATTCATAATGGTTTTTTTTTTATTAATTAATGGAAAAGAAAAGAAAAATAAACCTACTTTACGAGATACCTTAAGACACTATAATATAAATTTTCTAAAAGAGTATAACTAATTATCTAATCAAAAAATTAGGCGAAACTTAAAAAGACGTATTTCACTTTTCCTAAGAAAAAACTTTTTTACTTTATTTCGTAAAACGTTAAAATATATATATAATTATTTTATGTAGATATGTTATGGTGATATTGTTAACTTAGAGAATGTTGAAACAAGAGTTATTTTTGACTTAATGTTAGCAGCTAATGAATTTGAATTCAAGGAATTATCCAAAAAACTAGGACTAAAGTTTTTTGATTAAGAACACATTTTTCTTTTTTTTAACAATCAAAAACAAAAACAAAACTTTAAAAATTTAGAAAAATTTTGTAATGACTTCGTAGCAAAGTATCCAAATCTTATTTTTGATAGCTCAGATTTTACATCTCAAAAGAGATGATTTACAAATAGAAGAAACTAAAATCTGGGAATATACCATCAAGTGGGGAATTCTACTCTACCTATAAATCTCGAAGAATGGAATCAGGAAAATTTTTAACTTTGAAAACTACACTACAACAATGCTTACCATATATTAGATATTTTCATATTCCGGGTAATGATATTTTGGATAAAGTAGAACTTTACAAGAAAATTCTTGACAAACAACTTTGGAAAGATTTAAAACAATATTTTATATCTCCGACCGACCAACAAAATCAATTATTTTACCTGCAAGATATATTCTAGTTCCAGAATTGCCTGCCCGTACAAAGGAACCTTTTTCAGCTATTTCAGATGAACATGCAGCCGAAATTTCCTCCTGGATTGATCGTAGAACTACTTATGAATTTTAGTTAATTTTACGAACCTTAATGGCTAGAACTCATCATATGTAATATATAAAAAAAAATTGAGATATTTTATTTGATAAAAAAATCATAATTACAAACTCTATACTTAGTATACTTAGTGTTAAGATTTTATAATATCAAAAAAATTAATAACTAATACCTTATAATTAAATAAACAAAATATAGATAAAAAATATATAACGTTAATAAAATTTATAAATTAGATGTATTCAAATCATCATCATCACCTAATTAAAAAATAAATAAATAAAAATAAATTAAATTAAATATAAATAATAATCATATCATGAAATGAAAAATAAAATATATTTGACACTTACCAGCATTTATTTGATAAAAAGATTCTGTCAATTCTTCGAGTTTTTTTCGAAATTTTCATCATTTTAGGTTTTGGAAGATTCGAAGTCGACTGGTATAAATTGCTTGCGGATGCGTTTTATAATTCATTGGAGTTGTAGTTGTTGTATCAGTAATTGTTTAATTTTTTAGAAAATTCTTCAGCTTCTTTAATTTGAATTGTAATTTCATTATTATCATTTCCCAGTATTTATATAACTCTTTATATAATTCATCAAAACCATTACAGCCAAATCTTTATCATGCGACACATCGTGATATGGGGGAATTTCGGTGATGATTTCATAAGCAACAAATGCAAATGAATAAACATCAGCCGCCTTTGTATATTCTTCCCACTTAATACTTCAGGTGCTATATAAGGTAATACACCAGAAATGGTATTCTTTTGGAGATTTTTTATGTTTGCTGTAATTAATTTACTCAATCCAAAATCTGATATACACATTTTCACTATCTTCCAAATTATATTTTAAAATATTTCTGGGATGAAAATCACGATGAACTATATCTAATTTATGAATTATTGAAAATTTTTCAGCTAAATATGTTAGATGTTTTAATTTATTTTCCCAATTGATATTATTAAAATTATTATTTAAATAATTTCTAAGACTTCCACCTTCATAATATCGTAAAACCATCATATATTCATGAGTTTTTGGATCTTTTGTAGTTCCGTAAAAACGGACTGATGAATAGCCACCATTTGTTCTCAAGAAAATTGCCATCTAAATAACATTTTTTTAAATTATAATTAATATATATTATATATTTTCAAATAAATTTAAAAAAATCCTCATTTATATCTACAATACCATCAAACTTTTTTAACGCCACTTCCCATTGACCATCTCTTTTCCATTGTTAATTTTTAATATCCCAATATTCAATACTTCCATCAACCCACATAGCATAATAAATAGTACCATAACCACTTTTTGCTATTCATTTAATGTCTTTAAATCTATCTTAAGGTATCCATTCGATTAATTTATCCCAATCAGCATTTAGTTGGTTATCTTGAATAAGTTTATCGATTGTATCATTTCCGCTTGTCCATTTATCAAAATCATTTTCAAAATGTTTTGAGATGCACGGTTTGCACCACTCATCATTACAATTATATTTTTCATTGCATTCTTTACATATTTTAGACATTTTCTGTTCGCTTATAGTACGTAAGATAGAAGTTTTTTTAAAATGATGAAAAAGTAGTATTCATGGAGTTGTTATCCAACATGACCGAAATTTAGAATTTTCTCGTTAAACAGGTATAACATCACATAGAAAGACATCTTTTTAATCAATTTTGTGGGTAAGCATTGCATTTAACCATATATATACTGATGATGTTAATTGAAGTATTTTAGAGTATTTTAGGGTATAATTATAGAAATGGTTTGATCAGGTGTTTGTGTTACAAAAAAATTACTGCGAATACTACGAATACTGGACAATCGTTTAAATCAATAAAAAAATGTGTTTTTATGTTATATTTTAATTGTTTACATATCGACGTTTATTTTTATTGAGTTTTGAAATATATAATAGTAGGTTTCTTGCCTTTGATTTCAGAGATTACTATCCGCGATTTTGAAAGATTACAAGATTACAAATATTCTCTAATCAGTTTTGAATTTATAGATGCCAAGAGAATACAGTGAAGA